AAAAACATGTAGTCTGGCAATGAATGCCTCTTGAGTCATAGTTGCATGGAAATTTTTACACTTTTTTTTTTTCTTCAAATGAATTCCTAATATGGAGTCATTTGTAAGATCTGGCCAAAGAAACTTAACATTAATTGATTATGTTTAAAGATTTTAAAAAGTTGGCCAGATGCTCATTTGATTGTCTTACAAGAATACATTAAAGATGTCTAAATGTTGATCTGCCTACCAAAAAGTACAGCTCCACTTTGAAAGCAGTAAAATTTTATTAGTGACGAAAGCAGTTTCTTTTTGGTAGTCTATAAACAAGATTATTTAACATAAAAGTTCTGTAAACGATTTTTTAAAAATTCCATATTAAGTAACAGAATTAGATATTTGTATTCTTCTTGCTTTTTAGTTAATCCTGAGCAATCATAGAAAAGGAAATGAAAAAAATAATAATAACATTTTTAGCATAACCAGATGTGAATTCCCCATGTCAGTCTGGCATGGAGACATGATTAGGAAGCAACCCAAGACTGAATTTGTACATAAATGGTATCTGTGCAGAAAGGACCTAACATGGTAGGTCTGCCTGCTGGTCCTTAAGAAGGCCTGTTTGCAAGGAATGTGGTATCTAGGAGCTTGGATTTGGGGTGGTTCCCACCCCCATAACCGATAAGAGTGGCCCTCTGTGCCCAGACTGTTGATGCCGCACATCTGTTTTCCTCCTGGAAGTCTAGATCTCATGCAGGTGCCAGGCAGATTGCCTACGTCAGTGGTCCCCAACCTTTTTGGCACCAGGGACCGCTGCTCCTATGAGAATCTAAGGCCTGACGATCTGAGGTGGAGCTGAGGCAGTGACACTAGTGCTAAGGAGTGGCTGCAAATACACATGAAGCTTAGCTCACTCTCCCGCCACTTACCAGTCTGCTGTGCGGCCTGGATCCTAACAGGCCACAGACCGGTACCAGTCCATGACCTGGGCATTGGGGACCCCTGGCTATGTGACTAGTTTCCAGTAAAAAGCTTCACTGATTGGCAATATTTCCCATATGTGTGTTGAGGAATGAAACAAATCCTGTGTGACTCTACTGGGAGAGGACTCTGGAAGCCTGCCTCTGTTTTCCCCTAGACTTCACTCCATGTGCTTTTCCCCTTTACTGATTTTGCCTCATATCCTTTCACCGTAATAAATCATAGTTGAGTAAGACTACATGTTCATATCTTCTTTATAACAAATCATCAAACCTGGAGGTTGGTCGAGGACTCCCGGCATGGAACCTTATTGGTGGTAATTCAGAGACCATTTGAGAAGTGTGCATTGTTGATATTTATGTCATTTGGGGATGACAGAGCTCAGTATCACAGTACTGCAGAAGAGATGGTGGTGGTTGTGCTCAAACATTTTCTCAGTACAAGATTTAACACACTATCTTCAAGCCATCCTAAGTATTTCAGATTATGGCCCCTGTTTCTAAATTTTTGTTCCTTAATTTACATATTTTTGTTCCTTAAACTTTTTATAAATGCCCAGTGATTAGCGCTGTGCCCAGTTTAATAGTGTTGAATTTAACTGAAGAGGCTTCCAACAGTACTTCAAGGCTCTGTTCTTTCTCAGTCGTGCCCTAAGTCTGCCTCCTTGCACATTTACTCCCCAGACCCCCTATTCTCAAACGCCGCACTCTGGCTTCTGCCAGAGCTGTTATATACCTGTTATACGCCTTTAAGCATTGATATCTGCCTAGTTCTTTTTAACAAAATATGGATAAATTTCATCTTGAGGATTTTGTGTATTGCTAAGTACTATTAACAACTCTTAGGAAAATTAATGTGTAGATTTAACCACATTTAATAATGATTTTCAGTATTTATTATATGACAGAGTCTGAATCTAAATTCAGTTTATGTATAATAACAGCCTTAATAAATTAAAAATCAGAGTATACATAGGCCAAATGAATTGACCATGCTGTCTGGAAAAAAAGTTTAAAATAATAAAAAATACTCTCTATCTTTGGTACCATAAAACTTGTCCATGTTTCACATATACCCAATGAGTTATAAATTAATATTTCCCTTCCCTTTGAAGGTGCTGCTGTTCCAATTCCAGTATCAGTACCACAGCTGGCTGCCTGTTAAATACTTAGAGCAGATTCTGCTATTAAATTTAGAATGCTTGGCCACAGCTCATAGTCGTAGGAAGCTACAAATTCATATAAGAGTGCAAAACGAAACGAGAAACCATCATTGCTAAGTCTATATCAGATAGGCAAAAGTCAGGAGGGATTTCACAGGTAATTCAAGAAAAGAGATATTTCTTAACCTCTGTTGGCCTTCAGTTTGGACTGTCATGAACTGACTGACAGGCTCCTATTTTTCTGAAGCTCTGGAAGTTATTTTAAAGTATAAAATATTTATAAGAATGCTAAAATGTACCTGTTTACTTAGAGAGAAACCATGATTTTTTGCGTAGTCTTGTAACAAAATATATATTGTATACTTAGCAAATACATGATTTAAAATGTAATAATTAGTAGCAAGAATAAAAATTTTCTCTAAACTTAAAAAAATAATTAGATTCAAGCATCTAGCAGCCCTTTGAGACCATGAAGACAGCAAGGACATCTAGGGGCACTCCAACTCTAGGACAGCTGTCTAACACACAGGATGTCTGGCTACTTTGAGTCAGCCTGGGGATCCCTTATGGCAGAGTTTTTCAAAGAATACATGTGTTAGACCAGCATGGTCCTCCAAGCATGGTCAGGGGCCAGTGTTGGGCCAGGAACACTTGTTACTAGATCAGTGTAGAAATTGAAAGTATTTAGAAACTTTTATAGAAATTTGATATAGAATGGCATCCAAGTATGCGATCATTTCTCTAATAATTCATTGTTATTGTATTTTACAAAAGTAATGGTCTGCGATGGATTGGGATTTATTTTTAGATGGCCTTTCACCACAGATAGTTTAGGAATGCTTATTAAAAATTTTGTTTCTTGGATCCCAATGTAAAGCAGTGGACTTCAGACCTCTGGGACTGGGGACAAGTCCCCGGCATCTGTATTTAATAAGCTGTCCAGGCCATTTTTCAGGCTGAAGTTTGAGAACTGCTTTAGGAGGGAGAATAACAAAACTGACTAATGTATTTCTTAAGTATAATATTAGCTTCCGAAAGCTGTCCACCTTAAGAACCAGTTGCCTAGATGATAATTTGTGCACAGTCGAGTGCGATCCCCATGGATGAGGTATATCACTGGCTCACAGAAATGCCCGCAAAACAGAAATGTGTGCAGTTTCTGTACCATTCCACTGGTAGTTTATGAGATGCTTTTGTGCCAAAGGCACCCTTGAAGCCTTTTCCCTGCCATCTGCAGGCAGATTGCTATAATAAATATGCTAGAAGATGATGTCTAGAATATGACAGGTGTCTGAGATCCCCAGTCTCCTGCAGAGCTGGCACAGCCACACGCCAGACCTAGGGGAGAGACAGCAGCCAGCGCTGGGTCAATGTGCAGGAACTTGTCCCGATTGAAAACACAAAAGACCCTGTGGCACTCGCGGAGAGAACAGACACATCAGAGGGGTTCTTGTTTGTTGCAGGTTTAAAGAAACTGGAAATAATATAATTAAATTCTCCCTGGGCACATGGCTTTCTCATTCACCGTGTCAGTTCTTTATAGATGATTTCAGGAGGAATAGAAAAATGGTTCACAGTAATTGCTTCTCAGCAGGAGGGAGATTTCTTTATTGCCTGTGTCACATGATCAGATGTTGGTGCCCACGCCCCTCAATGAAGGCACTGGTCATCAGTGGTCCTCTCTGGGCTCCATTGTCACTTTCAGCCGGCCCAGGAAGGGGCCACAGCCAGGCAGTAGGTCAGCCATGGAAGAGAAGGAGGAAATGGACAGGAACTGACCAGTAACCAGAAGTTTTGGCATAACTCTAATGAACGACTTTACTTCATAGAATTTGATTGCAATAATTTCTTTGTTAGGACTGTGTTTTACCTGTAGACACAATATTGTGCTCTCAAGTCACATCTTTAAAGTTTTCTAAACAGGATGCCATTGTCACCCTTGGAGTAGCACCCCATCTCCTGTTTCCCTTCCCCCTCCCCATCTGCCAGACAGCCCTTTTAGGTTCAGCCCTCACCTCCCTGGGTGAGCTTTCTGGATCTCCTAGGAAACACTATGTCCCTTATGTCCTGGTGTCCCTTATGCAGGACGTTCTCTGGTTGTGGGGATTTTCATGAATCAAATAGGGTTGATTAATTAGAAATAAGGTTGTCCTCTGCAGACAAATATTGCCTATAACAGGACCTAAGTGTGTGACTTTGTTTTTTTGTAACAAGGGGTATCCCCTTAATGAAAGGGATGGGTACGTATATATTTTTTTTAAAGTTAGAGGATATTAATGAGGTATTGATGGCATTAGGAAAAGAAGCCCTTTAGCCTAGATCAAGACCGAGATCTGCTCAATGACGATTAGATTTATAGCTAGTTGAAACATTAAAGAAATTAAAGCAACTTAATGCTTACAGTTTCAGTGAGAAAAATAATTTTGTTAATATGAATCTCAAATTGTGTCCACAACTCCATTTCTTTCCATTGAAACAATATTTTATATTCAATTTATAACCCAGCAATTATTTTATAATCATTTTTTTGGTAAGACGGGACTTGTGTGTAGAATGTGATACTGTGACATTCTAATTTGGGGGATACAGATCTCGCTCACTGGACTGTGGTCTCGGGTAACTTGTTCTTTTCACGTCTCGTTTCCGGACCCATGGTAGTCTGCTGAACGCGCACGTACGTGAGTGCGTGCTGGAATGACATCTCAGCAAGCCCGCATCGCCCGAACCACCTCTCACTGAAGTCCTAAGACTGCCAATGTAAAGAGTACAAGCGCGGAGCAGGTTTCTTGCCGCCATCATTCCCCTCCCCCCAGCCGCGCCAAACATCCTCCTCCCACTCAGAGTTGCTCATCAGGTCCTGATTTTCCTTCCCCCTCAGGCATCCTTATCATGATGTCCCTGTGCAGCGAGGTGCATGTGTATGAGTACATCCCGTCCGTCCGGCAGACGGAGCTTTGCCACTACCACGAGCTCTACTACGACGCGGCCTGCACACTCGGGGCGTACCACCCGCTGCTCTACGAGAAGCTCCTGGTGCAGCGCCTGAACACGGGCGCCCAGGGCGACCTGCACCGCAAGGGGAAGGTGGTCCTGCCGGGGCTGCGGGCCGTGCGCTGCCCCGCACCCGACTCTTGAAAAGGGACTCTGGGGAGTCAATGTGCAATAAGGTACTGCTGTTGTCCTCTGAGTCGCACAAGAATACTTGAAGATGCATTTTCGGCGACGCAGTCTTGAGTCTTTAAACTGTAGCTTAGTGATGGCCGTGGGAATTCTCTTTCTAAGCCATTGAGTATTTATTATTGCTTTGGATATAAAAATGGAGTTAAAAGGATAAAAGGTCAAGAACGATGCAAAAACAAAACAAAAAAAAAGCTGTAAAGAAAGCAAATACATAAAGTGAGGGTACCGCCCAAACTGTTAGGCTCTCCTGCGCCGTAGACACCACTTAGCAGTGTTGCTATTATGAAATGGTTTATACCTTGGAACACCGGCATTGAGTTACAGTGTCTGTAGCATCTAGCGTGTCCTTTGTACATGCATTCACCATTGAAGATCCGAGAGTTTACAACAAACCTCTGAATTATCATTCAGATGTGTTTATTTTAACAGCAGAATTCCCAGTATTGTCTCTGAGGGGCCCATGTTTCGAAACCATTGCATTCGCTGTCTCTGCTTCCCGTTGCCCACTGAGTGCTTTGTTCTTTGTGTACCAGCACACATTTCTAAAATCATGCTGAGCAGCTCAAGGAAAAGCCAACCCCAGAATAGCACCACAGAGGAGACACTTTGTTTTCTTGCAGTATTCCCTTAACTCAACTAAGAGCACCACTCAGGAAAGGAAAGTCACTGGCAAGTAATACAGAATCACAGGCTGCAGGGTGGCTCTGGCTCCAGTTTTTCTGCCTTGTACCTTCTCCCCTGCCAGTCCTCCCCGCAGCCTTTCATAACTACAGGCACTGAGAGGACACATCTGTGAGAGAGGGCTCTCGGATCCAGAAGGCAGAGTTGCGAAGCAGTAACCTTGTGCTTCTGGGGGTGCGCATCTATCTCTTTTATTCTTGCAGAGCTGCTTGCAGGTAAATATCGGCTATTGGGAATCCGACAGTGATTTAACAGTCACAAATTCTTCCTACAGATTGAAATTTAGGAATCTCATCCTTGTTTTCACAGATACATTTTATGTCAGCAACGTAACAAAGCCATATAATTAAATAAAATGTGTGAAAGCATGGCTCTTTAACAACAAGGAAACTACCTATATGCTTCAGAGGGAAAGGCAGCTCGAGGCAGAATTGTCATCCCAGTGCTTTAGCTGCATACAGTTTTCGCTTTCTTTAATCTTAGTTTTTGTCACTGATACATTAAAATAATTTCGATATGAACATAGTGAACCAAACATTTTGGAAGACCATAATTAAACCTGCTGTTATTTCAGTATATAACCAAAACATATCTCAGCGGCACAGTTCAGATTTCCTGACAGTGTCCAGAGCAACTTAATTAAATATGGTCTCTCTTGTAAGTGAGCAAATGTCGAGATAGTTTATGGAAAGTTATTTTTTGTTGTTCCAGTATTTTTGTGTGTGTGTGTGAGCCCTCTCAGGACTGCTTTCTTGAGCAAGAATGATTCACAGAAACTGACAGCTCTTTGGTTGGTCTACTCAGCAGAAACCCAGTTGGATAACAGACATCTCCTATGGCTTATTATAATGATGAAGTAGGAGTAACTGAAAAGTTTTAATCATGGCAGTGTCCACTACAAGCTTATTTAGAGGACTTCGTTTCTGGACCTATGAGAAGGGATGGGTAATTTTGTCTCATACATTAGCTTATGTCTAAGCAGACATGGTCAAGCCATTCTTCTTTCTGATTTCCTGAAAGAGCCTTGTCCCCATGTTTAATGAGTTATGAGTTCAGTGATTCTGGATGCCGGTGAGGTAGCTGTGATGCAGGTGAGCCATCCTTCTGCATCCTTTGTTTCTCCCTGGGCCTTTCAGGCTTTGCCTTCAAATGCCCATGACAATGAAGTTTTCTTGATAGTTGTCCTAGTGGATTTCCTTACCAGCATCCATTTTATTTAGGACAGCCCCCTTTGATGACATGAGAAATTGGTTAGAGGAAAATTTATTGGGGTCAATGTAAATATTCAAGTTCAAAAGCCCCAGAAAACAGTTCAAAGATTTTTAAATAGCATTATGTTGTAACATATGTACTTTGGAAAAGTACTTTTAGCCTCACTGAGGTTATAAGAAAGACTGAAGAGCATAAAGGAAATTTAATTAAAATTTTTTAATTTATTATGGCCTTAAAGACTCTCGGGAATCAGGGTCTGTGAAACATTCCAGAAATGTGGAACACATGTTAATATAGTGAGGTCTGGGCATTCCTTTTAAAAGTTTAAATTGTTTAGCCTTTCAAAATAGTAGGCAGTTAGAGTTAACGTGATGACTGCTTCTAGTATTAGACAAATTGGTCTAAGTGGCAATATTTTGCCAGACATTGATTAAGTCTTCATTTGCTACATTTAATGAACTGCAATAAACACACAGGCCTTTTGTGGCATAGTTAACAATAAATGGTGTCCTACTGTGTTTCTTCCAGGCTCTGTCTTTTCCAAAACCCTCCAACTTCTACTGTGAAGGGACACTGATAAAATCATTATGGTGCAACCTGAAGCCCTCAGGTGTCCCTTTTTTCACTCTCAGGACAAACAAAGGTCACATTGCTTTGTATTTCAAGATATTTTCACATGATCTTTTTTTAAAAATTTTTGTTGTTATCACAAAGAAACAAATGTTGACCAATAATGCCAACTCACTTTCATCTAGATTCTCCTGACTTGTTCATCGATCCCTCCACCAGGTATGAGGGTAAGGCTTAACAAGTGTGGCGTTCCTACTGTCACCATGGAACACAGGCTGGCCTTGTATATCTGACCTCCCCACGAAGTCCTTACAGAACTGATTTTATCAAGAATTTTGTGCACAGAGTCAATAGTCAGTCAGTTAAAAGTTGTATGTAGGTATCCTGCAACATTGGGAACGTTCATTAAAAGGGGCTTTCGCACATCTTTCAGTCAGTGGGTCTCTCCTAGCCCTCCCGGACACAAATCTCAAGCAGCCCAGCTTGAGCAGCAGTACCTCCCATGAGTCATGCCCTCAGTCTCTCAGCCAGACACTTAATCAATCCTAGACTCTGGTAATCATCTGTCATTGTAGCCATAGCATCTGCACGAAGCAATGCTGAAATAATTGTTAGCATTTTCAAAATTGGGAAATAAACAAAACTGTTTAAAGCTACCACAGGGTCGCTCTGCTCCATGTTTATGAGGCAGCTCATTCTGGTGGCACAGATTAATACCTCCTGTCGTTGGGCAGGAACACTTCCATCCACTGAATTAATTAGGTCCTGTTTAGCTGCATTAGGTGGGATCAATCTCACATGAGTAATGGTATGTGATGGAGACTTTTGTATGCACAAAAGACGTGATTGAAGTTTTCTCTCCAGTCTTTCCTAGAGACCAACTCACAGTGCGTGTTTGAGGCTGGTGGCTAAAGTGACCTGGTCCCGTTTCTGCTTAGCTATGGGAAAAAACAGAGGTGTGTTGGGGGTGAATTATCGAGAAGTATGTGACTGAATATATAAGCCAAGGAGTCTCTGAATATATTCTATCGTACTGTCTGTTTCGACTTCTCACTTTATGGTAGTTTAGAACTCGATGCAGTGGTTACACAGCTGATGAAGGCAGCTACATTTAGAAATGAGTTGCTTAGGTAAAACGTGCCTGAGTTCAAATCTGTTTTTTATACTCCAGATATTTCCATTGTGAAAATATTCTGCATGTTTCTGTCATTGGGGCATTATTTACACAATTAGTAAATGAAAGCTATTTCTCTGTCAATTCAAGGATAAGATGTAAGTGCTGGTTCTTGTTTTTATTAAATGAATGTAGCCTTTTAATAAGAAAAAATAATCCAGCATATTCCTCTACAAGCTTGGACTAGTTGAATTTAAAGAATTAAGTAAATTGATATAGTTCTTACTCTTGTTATAAAAAGTGTGCATGTAGATATAGTTATATAATTGTGTATATATACATATCTACACACATGGTTGGTTTTATATTGTCTTTTTTCATCACACTTTATTTCCGAAAACTTTATAATAAATTTTAATTATGGAAATGCCAGTTTTTTAAGAGAAGGAAGCAAGTGTTATAAATCCTTCTGTTAAAGGAAAGTCTTCCCACACACTCTTATTTAACACATTCTGGCTACATTAAAAAGCACA